CTGACTACAGCTTCAAGATATTGGACGCTTCCAATTTTTTTTTCTTGCCGAATCTTGTAGGAAAATGTGTCTTTGCTTTTCAGAAGAATAGATTAGGGTATTTTCAGAAGACTCGCGAAATCTGGAAATATCTCGGGACACAGTTACGCAAAGCATGCTGTGAATCCTTCAATTTGCGATCTCGTAAATTTTTATTGTCCAAACGATTAATATGAGTCAGTTCAAGTTCAAAGCATGGATTATTTGTAAGCGGATGTCGCTTAAAGTTTTTTCAAGGACTCCAAGAGTTTTTCTGCTTTGCATAGATTCACTTCCTAGTCGTGTCTCGTTTAAATCTGAACAATTTTGACAAATTTTTAATCGAGAAATGGAAACCCTCATGGCGTGATTTACGCATTCGTGCCTGTCTAGAATTTTTGAATTCGAGTACATGACGAGCGGGAAATAGTTTTTTTCAAGGCGAATGATGCTATGATGAAAGAATTGAAGAATAATTCCGAACAAAGCTGAGATGAAAATAATAACAATCACGGAGGATGAACCAGAAAAAGTGGGCAGATACTTCATTTTACACGAGTTCAGGCATCATTTACCGTGGCAAAATAAAATGCATTACATCGTTTATCGAGTGATAATGGCTTTTAAGTTTTATTTTTAAATTGAATGACCACCATGGACAATTTTTTCTTACCAAGGACGGCATCATTGTGACAGAAATGCCTCACCGTGTCATGGCAGTATTTTAATCTGAACCGGAATAATTTTCATCCTCTTCGTCATCCCAGGAAACGAGCGAAAAGAAATAATTTTAGTAATCTCATATAATCCCGAAATACCATTGTAAGCAAACGACAATAAATTCATTGAATATAAGCTTTTGAATAAATAGCAGGTGGGTAGAATCCACGTATTCGGCCTCTTCGACATTTCGGACAATATCTATTCATATTTTTCATAGATATAATTTGTTTGATTTATTCTGACTCCCATGCTGGTTATGTGGTGCAACTGAGACCATAAAACTGAAATTGTCTCGATAAAATACTTAAAAAAGATCGATTTGAATTTTTGTGTTGAGCTGATTGTACTGAACCGTCAACTATTTAGGACAAATCACAGTTTGAAAATACGATCCACTCAATTTTTCAGTACATATTTATCCAGCATTCGGAAAGACTCAGATTTCATTCCTGTGTATAGCCTGACAGATTTTTGAACAAAACTGGATTGTTTCGCAGTTTTCCTGCTTTCATTGAAGAGATTAATCCTAGAGTTGAAATATAAGGATATTATTATAATATACTATACGTTGGTGTGAACACTTGGTTATGTGATGGATTTTTTTTTTTCATTTTACAAGCGTCGCTGGAAATCTGAACTTGGCCGTAATTTTTTTCTCTTTCGAATTCTCGTATTAGCATTCATGTGTTCTCTGCGTGAGACTCTATTTCCGACGTGTAGAACCGAACGCTGCGGACGTAATGAAGGAGCCTTTCTGCGCTGGCGAGGGCGTGATTAAACCGACGCTTGCTTTTGTTCTCAGAAATCGCGAAAGGAATGAGACGTTCGATCCAACCAATGTAAAGGGTTCTTCTGGAAGTTCTGTACTGGAGAAGAAAAATAAACAGGATTTCTACGTCCATTTTTCAAATTTTTTGCCATCTTAAAGTTTTATCTGAACGAACGCATCAGTCCAAGAATGACCGCATGAATGAAATCTTGCTTCATGTACCGGAATTTTCGGGGACATCATACTCCAGCCTCAATTTTGAATAAAGTTTTGAAAATTCCACTGTACAATTTCTAAATTCTTGTCGAGCGAGGGGATTGTTTTTTTTTTTGGTGCGATAAATTTTGGGAAGACTTCTTCAACTGCTTTATTTTTTTAAATTCGTTATCCACGTAATGCAGTGGTGTCGACCGAATTACTTTCAAATGTAAAAATTCAGAACAGTTTATGGGACTGCTTTGAGTTTGCTTTGCTCCATCAATCTGTCATTCAATTTTTGATGAATTATTGGAATTTAGAAGTGCTGTATACTAAAAATCAAACAGAAATTATTGACTCTCATCGTTCGATTTTAAGCTCGTGACCAATCGTATCGAAGTGAAGAGCATCCTTATGCATGCACTTTAAGTTTACACTTTAGTTCATATTTTCACTGAATAGCACGTGTTCGTGAGGAACTTCCGTAGTATGTTCAGAAGTTTCGAAAAAATCAATTACCTGTTGGAAAGCAACCTTTTCAGAGTCTTCTGGACTAACAAAACTGAAAACAATATTTTCTGGCAAATTCTTGCTGATTATTGCTCGTCTTTGAGCCGGAAGTGAAAGAACTCTGAAGGTAATTGAGCATAATATTGTTTTATTGAACATTGATAGTTTTCTGCGGGACTTTCTTCGACTTTTGATGCAATAATCTGATGGTTTCTTAAGTATTATTGGTTTTTGACACATTTGAAAATCACTTTGCCGGTTGCCCTCATTAAAGGTCAGCAAGACTAAAATGGGTTTCTCGAAGACTTCAGAATTAGTGATTCAATGCGACGAATCCGAAAGAAAAGAATTTCCATTCTAAAGGTTTCATCGCATACCATCAAGCTCATTTTAACCGGGTTTGATTTTTAAAATCCTCGAGAGAATAAATCGAGAAGCTCTATTCAGATTGATATGTAAATTAGAAATATTTATTTTCCATAAACACGGGATTTCTTAGAAAACCATTCTTCCCCTGGTATTCGGAATATAATGAGATCAGTCAGCGTTTCCAAACTTATTCCCCTGGGTATGTAAGTTCACATGGGGAATACGTTCGAACGAGAGAAGGTTTCCTGAGAGAATTCATTTCGGATTGAGCAACCTCGACGTGGTTGGTTATGCTTTTCTTTTAAAGCAACATTCCTGAGTACTTCCGATGATGGTGTAGTATCTGACTTCCAAAGCAGTGCTTGAAATACATCTGTAAATCATACATTATAGAAGCTCCGGATTCTGGGACACGTGGCTCTTTGAATCCAACTTATGATTGAGCAGTACGACCTTCACGACACCATGCAGATATTGATGGATCATAGTTTTATCATCCCAAGCACCACGTGCTCAAGTACTGTGTAATATGAGCAAGATTATTATTATTTAACGATAAAATCATAAAAATTCCCTTGGAGTGTAAGGTACAGTATCTGACTACAGCTTCAAGATATTGGACGCTTAAAATTTTTTTTCTTGCCGAATCTTGTAGGAAAATGTGTCTTTGTTTTTCAGAAGAATAGATTAGGGTATTTTCAGAAGACTCGCGAAATCTGAAAATATCTCTGGACACAGTTACGCAAAGCATTCTGTGAATCCTTCAATTTGCGATCTCGTACATTTTATTGTCCAAACGATTAATATGAGTCAGTTCAAGTTCAAAGCATGGATTATTTGTAAGCGGATGTCGCTTAAAGTTTTTTCAAGGACTCGAAGAGTTTTTCTGCTTTGCATGGATCCACTTCCTAGTCGTGTTTCGAATAAATCTAAACAATTTTGACGAATTTTTAATCGAGAAATGGAAACCCTCATGGCGTGATTTACGCATTCGTGCCTGTCTAGAATTTTTGAATTCGAGTACATGACGAGCGGGAAATAGTTTTTTTCAAGGCGAATGATGCTATGATGAAAGAATTGAAGAATAATTCCGAACAAAGCTGAGATGAAAATAATAACAATCACNTATGATGAAAGAATTGAAGAATAATTCCGAACAAAGCTGAGATGAAAATAATAACAATCACGGAGGATGAACCAGAAAAAGTGGGCAGATACTTCATTTTACACGAGTTCAGGCATCATTTACCGTGTCAAAATAAAATGCATTACATCGTTTATCGAGTGATAATGGCTTTTAAGTTTTATTTTTAAATTGAATGACCACCATGGACAATTTTTTCTTGCCAAGGACGGCATCATTGTGACAGAAATGCCTCACTGTGTCATGGCAGTATTTTAATCTGAACCGGAATAACTTTCATCCTCTTCGTCATCCCAGGAAACGAACGAAAAGAAATAATTTTAGTAATCTCATACAATTCTGAAATACCATTGTAAGCAAACGATGATAAATTCCTAGAATATAAGCTTTTGAATAAATACAGTATAAGTTGGGTAGAATCCACGTATTCGGACTCGTCGACATTTCAGACAATATCTATTCCTCTTTTTCATAGATATAATTTGTTTGATTTATTCTGACTCCCATGCGGGTCAATGTGGTGTAACTGAGATCAAACTGAAATTGTCTCGATAAAATACTTTAAAAAAATCGATTTGCCTTTTTGTGTTGAGCTGATTGTACTGAACCGTCAACTATTTAGGACAAATCAAAGTTTGAAAATACGATCCACTCAATTTTTCATTATAGAATTTATTCAGCATTCGGAAAGACTCAGATTTCATTCCTGAGTATAGCCTGACAGATTTTTGAAAAAACTGGATTGTTTCGCAGTTTTCCTGCTTTCATTGTAGAAATTAATTCTAGAGTTGAAATTTAAGGATATTATTACAATATACTGTAGTATACGTTGGTGTGAACACTTGGTTATGTGATGGAAAAAAAAAAGTAAAATGTTCGCAGCGACCTTTAGACTTGAACCGGCATTAAAAAAAGAGAAAGCTTAAGAGCATAATCGTAAGTACACAAGAGACGCACTCTGAGATAAAGGCTGCACATCTTGGCTGGAATTATTTTGAAGCCCTGACGCAGCACAAGAAAGTCAGAAGGCATATTGCCCCTACTACTGCTCATCCCCTGTTTTCTTTGGGTCGAGTCCAGGTGAACCATATCCCGATTTTAAAGCTCTTCTCATTTCCTTTTTGCGAAACCGTCGGAAGGGAGGAGAAAAACACAGAGGTTCAGAAAGGAAAGGTCCTCAAAGAAACTTTTCTTTTAGATATTGCTTGTTGTGAACGGAAGAGAAAGACCGGGATCCTTTTTGTCTGCCGAATTTATGCTTGGTGGACGATGAAATTCATGCAGACCTTCATGAGCCTTCTTTTGTCGACCCTAAAGACGCTCGGGCTTGCCGACAAGACGTGCATGCTCTAAGTATTAAGTACTTTTACCAGGCTTATTATAAACGATTCGTCTATTCTAGAAAAAAAATATCTCCATCACGTGATCCACGGAATTGATAAAATAACAGTGTTGCTCGAAATAATATCCGCCGATTCCAGGGCTTCTTTCGCGCAATCAATCTGACCAAGGATTTTGTACACACGCTCTATCTGTATTCATGTTCGTATTTCGCATGAAGAGAACCTTCGGCATATTTTTCTGTCCTCCAAAGCTGAGTTATCAAAACAGTTTTCAAGTCAAAATTTTGAATGCAAGACAGTAGTCTGTATACAGTAATGTTAATCGCTCGAGTCGCAAAATGTATGCGTTTGTTTGCTCGCGCAAATTTCGGACCATTCTTTTCGGATGACTTTTTAAAACAAATACACTAGCCGTACACTTAACAGATACAGTACTGTATTTTAAAATGTTTCCGGTGAGAACAATATGTGCTGGAAAGTTTATTAGATATTCGTTGATCATCGTTTATGTGATACAGTACTTACTGTGCTGAGCTTTGAATGAGAAAATCTCGAATCCAAAATACGAACCACCTGCTACTTTAAGTACGTCTGGAAGTACTCGGAAGAAAACAGCTGGGATTTCTGCGAGCCCGAACGGCTGTTCTGCACGTACGAGATTCATAATTCATGAAAATGGTCCGAATAAATAAACGATTCGTCTATTCTAAAAAAAAAATATCTCCATCACGTGATCCACGGACTTGATAAAATAACAGTGTTGCTCAAAATAATATCCGCCGATTCCAAAGCTTCTTTTGCGCAATCAATCTGACCAAGGATTTTGTACACACGCTCTATCTGTATTCATGTTCGTATTTCGCATGAAGAGCACTTTCGGCATATTTTTCTTGCCTCCAAAGCTGAGTTATCAAAACATTTTTCAAGTCAAAATTTTTAATGCAAGACAGTAGTCTGTATGCAGTAATGTTAATCGCTCGAGTCGCAAAATTTATGCGTTTGTTCGCTCGCAAAAATTTCGGACAATTCTTTTCGGATGACTTTTTAAAACAAATACACTAACCGTACACTTAACACAATGACATAAAATTTTACAAAGGCCACTCTTGTTATACACGACCTTTCAAATAATCTATAAGCAACTAGTAGCAAATACACTATGTCATGAATGACACGACTCGAAACTTACTCTTTTAGAGCTTAGGCGTTCGAGCCTCGGCTTTTATAGCCGGGACAATCGTATCGCTTTATATGTAAATGATCTGTGATTACCTTGCATAATTTTCTTATCTCGACGATTGGAAGGAGGGTTTTGGGTAGGTAGCGGGTTACGAGCTTCTTTAGCCTACTGGGTTACCGAAAAAAAAAAGAACCTGAACGGGTTTTCGTGATGCTCTGAGGCTTGTGTAATTTTTGCATTTGTATTATTCTCAAAATTTCATGCCTGAACTTGTCCGACTCAGTCGAATCTTACTTAAAGGAACGTAAATCTCACCTTCCGGAAGTTAGAAATCGAAAAAAGTAACATTCCGCGTTTGAAACATTGCAAGAAATTTCATCGAGAAAGACACAAAAACTATGTGTGTCACTTAATTTCATTGACGGATTTATGGAATTTTTTGAATTTCAAGGATAATCCTCTAAAAGCCCGCAATTTTTCAAGTTTTTGACGTTGCTTCTTCTCTCTTGATGGACTTTTATCCAGCTTGAACGATAAACAAAAAGTCTTCTGAGGAAATGTTCCTACATTCTCAAGTGTCATCGATTTGAATTCAGTTCGGTGACTATTAAAATATGACAAAGAGCTTTTAAAAGTTCGGACCTTTATCCCTGGAAGTTTTTCAATTCATCCAAATAATGAAAGATTGAGCTTTTATTCTCAGCTATTTGAGATGTGCTGTTTCCTTCAGTTTAAATCGGATGACGATTCAGAACGTATTTAATGTAACTCGGAGCATGTTGTAATGAAATTCGATCGAAAGAATTTTTTTGGAACCGGCTTGTCACTTGATGCCGAGATCAAACGATCGGAATTGCAAAAATCCCTGCTGTTTCTTTTTTTTTTTTTTTCGTGTGTCGTGAAAAGTAACAGTATCCCGTTCTGCTGCCGGAAACACTGTGCGAGCCTTCATTCAGAAATCTTCATTCACGTTCTTGGCATTCCTTTTTTCTCTTCGTACAGGTACATCAAAAAAGGTACAGCAGCATTTTTCGGGGTAGTGGAGGAAGGAAACGTGGAAGAAGAAGATGCGTTGAAATCTCGCTGGCTCGAGCGACGCAAGCGATTTTCCGCGAAGAAATTCGGGGAACTTAAAGACGCATTTGCCGCTCCGTGTCAGCGGGAAGGTGAAGATGACATCGACTTCTGGCGTCGCACGCGTCAGGTAAATTTCCCTTCGATTTTTCTTCGCCTTGCTTTATTACTAAATACAGTACGTATATGTGTGTACTGCATGGGTATCTAGTAACCGGAATCAATGTGGGACACGAACCCGCGGATGCGTAATACATATTTGTGACTTTTGTTCGGAAGCATAAAACTTTTTTTTTCTGATTGATACTTCCAATTAAAATTCATGAAATAAACAAATGTACAGTATTAATCTTGGAAAAATGAATATCTAATCATCACATGACAAAATTGACAAAAGTGGAACACCTGTTCGGCTCAGTTGACCCGACATTTTTGATGCGTGTCAGGCGTACATTATAGTGTGAAATGGGTGACTTGTTCATCCATGAATCAACCCAGACGAAAACTTTATAATTTTGTATTGATGTCTAGGTTTCTGAATCTAAAGCTTCAAAACCAATGAGCTATGAATAAAGAGACTTGATCCCTTGGTAATTTGGTACAATGAAAGCCGAAATTTCGCCGGCTTATTTTTTGTGGACGCTTCTGATTAATATTCTTATCTATCATCGCTAAATTAAACATAGCGAGAATATGGGTAGCTTTACATTTCAATATTTAGGAAACCACTGAGGATTCATCAATAATTCGTATTGTTTTCTAGCATTTGGACCACCTGTCAAATTATTAAAACTGCGACTGAGACTATTAAACCTTAATTTTTCGCACTGAAGAAGTTCCACTTTCAACCTTTCAAAGCGGAGCAGCATTCCAACTTGCGTGAACAAACATAAGATAACGGTTTAAAATAATGAGAGAATCAAGTAAAGTATTGCTCTTTAAAATATTCAGTTATCGTCTATTCAAAATACAACGAGAAGAGATCCTCAAGACCGTCAATTGGCACTCTCACACCAGCCCGTGTACTTGAAAAAGATCACGCATTAAGATTTACGAAGTAAAACCTCCGTGAACAAACGAATGATTTACATCCATGTTATTTTTTCCTGAATGAGCAGCTTATTTTTTGCGGAGCCGTTCGAAGAGACGAGGAAACTGATATCAAGCCACTCAATTGAAATAATTATTTGGTTCTACTGCAGTATTGCATCTTTTTTGTGTTAGACTCTCATGTCATCTTTTCTGTTTAAAAAAAAGAGAACATTATTTGCGCTATTCCGAAGTGACTTCGACAAATTGTCCGTACACCCTATCACTGATATGCAATTTTTACGGTATGAAAGCCTATCCGCAGGCGGAAATGCTTTGTAAAGCATTTATAAACCCTTTAAATTTTCTCAAAATGATGTCCCAAGTAGTGAAGAATAACTTACAACGTTTTGAATTCAAACCGTGATTGGATAAGGCATTTTGATAAACCCCTGCAGGAAGAGAGAACAAGTTAAAATTTTGCTGGAACCTAACTGTACAATTAATTTCATCTATGCTTTTGTATTATCCTGAGTGTGAGCTGAACTTCGTAAAGTCTGCACTGAATAAAACAAGCGAAAACTTTTGTGTGACCTGCAATCGGAAATCTTTGGTGTAAATTGTACCACAGTGGCTCAGGTGCACTTCTTCAGACATAAAAAACTTCGACCCACACGTGCGTAAACAACAAGATGGAGTATTTTTAAAATGTAAGAAAATGACGTCCTGGTCACGTTTTCGCTCCTCGTGCGTGGGAACAAATTGAGTGATGTTGTTCAGTCTCGCGGTTGGGGATTCAAACCATGAGGAGTTAAAAAAAAGATAAAAAAGTAAATTAAAGTACAGTACATAAAAAAGGTGAGGAACTATACGCGAGACGACGAGGCTTTCTCTCTGGTTCTTGTTGATCGAGTGGCCCCAGAGAGCTCCACACAGGCAGGCAGGCAGGCAGGCATTTTTCCGAGTCGGTGACGTTTTACCGGATCTGCTGGTTATCATGAGCGACACTCTCGTGTGACATTCCGACAGAGGCGAGATGCAGCGGACGTCAGCAACGTGTCGGCGACGCAGCGGGACGGCAGCGACGTCCTCGGCATCCCGACACCGCAGCATCCGATCCCGAAACCGCGCAAGGAGTCCGTCGCAAGGCTCACCATCCGTGGAGTCTCCTTCCTCGCTTCCGTGAGTCTTATCTCTGCTTATCAACTGTTTCCCAGCACCTCACTTTTGGTCCATGCTGAATCGCTTTTAGCATTACACGCCACAGTTCTTGAGTACAGTGATGCCTCGCCTAAGCAGACACGCGAGGAAAAGAAGGAGAATGACTGTCCTGACGAACGTTGTCCCGCATATAGTGAACGTTAATTTGCCTGGCCTACCCTTAAAATATTATTTTCGAAATAAATAATTGAAGAATGCCACTGTTTTTTCCCCTTAGCGCAAGTGCTTGGAAAACAAGCGCGTGCGATTAAAAATTGCAGTATATTGCAAATTTTAATGTTTTGAGCCTTCAATTGCTTCTTAAATGTATTATTGACAGGATGCTGAACTTGGAGGAAAGAGTTTATTTGGCCAATTTGTCTTCTAGTTTCTTTCAAAATGCATCAAGTTACTTTTTTATTTTTATCTTTCTAGTGTTGATAGTGTTGATAAAATAATGATGGAAGGTATGAGAAAGGTTTAGTTTTCAAAATGTGACTCATAATTACTCTTTACCTCATGTAGAAGTGGCATCCACAATATGAACAGAGAAGAACAGGAAGCTTTATTTTCCACTTTTCAGCATTCACAAGGTTCAATCAACATTCCCACATCCAAACCCCCTCCCAACTCAAATACTTCCAAAGGCATTCAATTACTTCAAAAGGGAAAACAGAGAAGTAAGTTGTATGCGGATACCAAAAGAAAATAAAATACATCCTACAATGTACATCCACACAACTGGTGTGACTGCCTAAACCCCCCTCCTTCACTGATAACAAAAACAACCCCATTTAACCCAATTTAAATGTGGGAGTGATATTCTTCCAGATCCGGATCAACCATATTCGCATCATTATAAACTTTTTTTTTAATTGTGCAAAGCTGTGATATTATAGTACGAACATTACTGACGAATGACGATTGAAGACTTCGGTGAATTTTCTTTTGCCCTTATTTACCAAAAATAATCTCAAAGAAATAAATGAATCCTCTTCTCATAAGTCTTACTGGATCCTTTAGATCAGTTCTCCCCACCCAACCCAAATCCATTCAAATGCATTCAATCACTTCAGAATGGGAAACAGAGAAAAAAGCTGTATATGAATACCAAATATGTAGCTCAATAATTGCTCTTTTCCTGGATGTCACTTATCCAGTTATCCATGCATTACAAGTGATATAAATTGTTTGGATTATTTGTGAAAAAGCAAGGCAATTTAACGAGGAATAGCATTTGAATGAACTGTAGCAGCGTGTTTTCAGGGGTTATTTTTTGAACCATCAATTTACAGATGGGTACCTCACAATTTGACCTCTCTCAGAAAATGCAACCTGTTTTAGCCTTGTTTCTAGTGTTTTTGTGCTGTTTGCCCTTGATTTTACAGTGTCTCACAATTTAACCATTTCACAATTTTATCTTAGTCCAGAAAAGGATTAGGGTCAAATTGCGGGGCACCACCTGTAATGAGTTTTACATTAATTCTCAAGGGTAAATTTGACCAGCCTAACAAAAACAGTGGTGGAACCAATTGTGTTCATTAGGCAAGGCACCACTAAATGCAATTCAAACACTTGGTTGAACAGGTCCAAAAGGCTATTTCAAGAAAGAATTTCAGGAAATTTTACGAGTTTTATGGAACTAGAATTGACATGACTGAGAGACACTTCAGAGCTCATATTTTATTGAAAGTGATGGATTTGAAAGTTACATGTCTAATTGTGTGGTAAATTTGCATTCATGAAGTCTTGTGCTCCTTGTTACCGTGAGTCTATTTATGCTTTTTCAACTTTTCCAGCACATCTATTTTGTCTACCTGGAATTCCTTTTAGTATGACTTGCAAGTTGCTGATGGATGTTGCCAATAAAATCCTGAAGAAAGAATGCAAAAAACCAGATATGATTCGGGATACTCAACGGTGATAATGGAACAGGTTTCTGTTGTCAAGAAACTCAGGATTCACAGCTCAAAAGAAATTACGCAATTATTCCAGTATGCTTTGGCAGAATCAATTTATTTATATTATTACTCAAAATCTTGAGTGTTGAACTGGTAGCATGTGCAGCATTGGTTGTACAAGCGGGACATTTGTCATATTCTATGCAGAATTTTATGAGGTGATAATCGTTGACTCCCCGTGCTCAGGGCATAAATTAGATACAACCCGGAGACATAAAGAGCGCATATTTCATTGGAGAATGAATTATTTGGAGGATACACGTGAAGTAGTAATAAACTTACCTTTATACTGTACAGTATATCGACTCTCTTTCTTGCTTCCGCGAGTCTAATTTATGATTACTTTACTTTATGCTCATTGCCTTTCCTTGCCTCACTTTTGTCCACTCGGATCCCTTATATTAGTATCAAACCACGTACCATTGGTGGTTGCAACAGGGAATTCAAAACGTTTCCTGCTTAATTCGTGATTGAAAAATAATTTCAAGGGTTCCTGGTGTCAACCCCACATGTTGACCCTCGGACCAGTTCCTTCTAACATGTTCTGCCGGAATTGAAAAGAATGAAAAGTTGAGTGAAACTGTAAGCCGTAAAATACCGGTAAAAAATTAAAAGGCTAGGGCAACTGGGATCATTTTTCAGAAATTTTCCGGGAGTCACTTCAGGGAAAAAAGCACCACGAACAAAATAATTCAAATCATTCCGCGGCTGCCCCAGGATTCAAAACGTTTTCTGCTTAATTCGTGATTGAAAAATAATTTCAAGGGTTCCGAGTGTCAACCTCACATGTTGACCCTTGGACCTAGTTCCTCCCAACATGTTCTACCGGAATTAAAAAGAATGAAAAGTTAAGTGAAACTGTAAGCTGAAAAATACTGGTAAAAAAAAAATAAAAGGCTCGGGCAACTGGGATCATTTCTCGGAAATTTTCCGGGAGTCACTTCAGGGGAAAAAAAGCACCACGGACAAAATAATTCAAACCATTCCGCGGTTGCCCCAGCAGGAGCATTAAATTCCAGAGAATTTCGAGATTTTAGGTCATTAAATGTTGTATAACGTCCGACGCTTTCAACGGTCTGGAAATTACACCCTGAAATAAGTGTGATGAACGTCGAATGATTAAATCAGAGAATTGAGATGTTCGCCGAGTTCCGGTGTAAAGTTATTTATGACTGCAATGAAGCCGTTCGAGGGTCCTAAACCTTCGGATGCGCTGTATGCGGTCGGTTCCCGAGAACCCAGGTACCGAGATGTACGGCTTCTGGCATGTAATCCTCGCGACCTTTTCCCCGACCATACTGCCCTCCTGGAAATTGAGGCAATTTTTCAGCCCTGAAATAACGCCTAACGGGGCAACCCTTTTTTTTTTGGGTAGGGGGTATTACCCAGCAGACGGCGGATAAAGGCGCCCTTGTTTACCAAACTTCTACGCGTTTCCGCTTCGTCGAGTATAGTTCGAAAAGTTCCGGCAGCAACTAACAGGGTAAACATGGGTAAGCACGGATCTCGTGCGTGACTGGAGATCTGAACTTTTCTTGACATCATGAATATGAGTCATGAAATAAAATCCTTGGGCTTTCGTTGCCTTTTTTTTTGGAATGTATAGTAACAGCTTTTACGAACACCAACTTGACGCGGACAGCTTGAAGGCGGATGAAAGAGAAAATTATTGCCCGAAACGAAGTTTTCTGTGCAACACCAAGTTGCGCCTTGGGAAATATGCGTGAGATCATGAAACTTTTAAATGTATGGCTTGAAAAAGAGTGCTTTCTGTGGATTCGAAGACAGCAAAACGATTTTTAAACAGCCACATTCCCCAAAATGCTTGAGCAATTCGTTTGAAAAATAGGTTAATTAAGATTCGCTTGATGGACTTCCCATAATATCCAAATTTATTGGGTATTACAGATTTTCAGTTGCATTAAAAAATATTCCAGATGCAAGAGACATCTGAGTGCTGAGGCAGTTACCCAGCCTCCGAGGGAATTTAATTTTAGGAGTGCAAAATGACATTATGGCTGCAGAAATAAGGGAAGCTGGAGCATCCTCACTCCTTTGATGTTAAAAGAGGACTTCTATTATTGTCTCTGATGATGATCACAAGCTTCATGAAGACAACAATCGCACACACAATCAGAAAATACAATCTTGCATTGTGCAACAAAAACACACTTTCAAAAAGAAATAAAAATCAGCAAAGAAAAGATGCTTCGCCCATGGCGTAATTCCCAACGCGTGAACTTCTGAAGCAAAGAACTCCACGAATTTTACACTTACAAAATTCCGCAACATTTTAAATTGAAGCTGAAGATGTTCTCCAACTTTTCTTTCATATTATAAAAATTGACTCGATCATTCGATCTTTAGATATTCTCACTTTTCTAAACCTAACTTTTCTTTGGTGATAAGAATCTGGAAAGCCTTCATGCCAGATTCTTATCTCACTGATGCACAAGCTTTTGTTGCAAACAGTGACTTCAAAAACCTTGTTTCTAAATTTACATGAATGAATTTATTTATCTGCAGCAATTGCGTTAGCGCAAAATAGATACTGTACAAAGAAAATAAGTATAAACCCGTCAGTCGGGAAAATTGCGAAAATGTGTGCACCTGATCCTTGTGCTGTATTACGAGTATTGAATTAATTTTTTCTAAAATGTACGCTAGTTCACAACGCCATGAATTGAACCACGAAGTTCAGCAGCAAATTCAGGCATTTACACCTTTCGAGTAGCTCGTGGTCATTTTCAAAATTTTCGCAAAATTGGAAACTTTTTCAATTGCCCGGAAAAATGTCACAATTTTTGTGCGAGTTTCTGCGACGAAGTGAGCGATTTTTGCGATGGCATAAAAAGTTCTGAAAACACTATTTGCGAAAGGGGAATTTCATGCATTTTTTAATGCTAATTAATTCATTGATCAGGACTTCAGGAGTGAAAAAGAGTTGTCTGAATTTCATCAAATCCTGCCAGAACGCATTGAGAAATTTTGTTTTACATAATCTACAGTAGTTTTGTGAATGAACGGACGAACTCATTGTTGAATTATCAATGTACAGTACTACAGTACTTCAATAAATCATTCGGGTTCCTTCCAAGTTCTTAGAAGTCTGTGGAGAATAAGTACCGTTTGTCGCCGTGCCAAACTTTTAAACGATTACTTTGTAACGGTTCTTTTCCTCTTGACATCAAAGAGCTTTGATTT